TTTATAAATAACTGGTTTTGCTGATTTAAACCCCTTTTTACTTGTTTACACAAGTTTTTATTGTGCTGCCAATGTTAAATGTGTCTCCCAGGTTGATGTCAAACCGTGACAGAAGGATACGTTTTCTACGTGTATTTACGCTTTGATTTGCACAAAACAGCACATCCGTGCAGCGCTGCTGACACAGAATAGCGTACGCTGCTTGCGTTCAGCGGATATTCTCCAAAATGGCGCTACGGTGATGCGGAGAGACACAGAGGAGACGAATTGTTGAATAAAGTCGTTCTTTTTTTTTCTTTGCGTACAAAAAGTATTCTCGTCGCTTCGTAACGTTGCGGTTGAACCACTGATGGCAGATGGACTATTCTGACGATGTCTTTCATACTTTTCTGGACCTTGACAGTGTAATTTACTTGGCAGTCAATCGGACAGTCACAAGCCTCCCGGTTTTCATCCAAATAACATTAATGACAACATTTTCATTTTGGGGTGGAGTATCCCTTTAAGGAGGATTTTGATGAAATCCATTTCCAAACTCCTTCACTGGTGAGAAAAACCAATGTTTTGGAAAGCAGATATTGGAAACTACTTTTTTATACCACAGTTGTTGTGCAGTTGTTTGAATTAGCTGTTATTTAATGGCATTCTTGCTATTTCAGATAATTGCATAATTATTTGAAGTAATAATATTATGTATGATTTTAAACTTAGCAAACCATCAGGAGCTATCTGCAGTGTTTGTGTGTGGTGGAGAACATGAGGACTGATCCAGAGCAAGTGACCTTTTTGCTGTGTCAGAATAAGGGGGATATCAGACAGAGTATTCTCCAGCTTCAGCTCTGGGTCTGTAGTGGTGGAGGGAGCACAGAACTACAAATTCTCAAGAACATACTCAAAGTGAGCCAGACTGACATTTATTTACTAAAGCCTTTACTACTTTCTACGACTAAGTTTTCTGCACATGCAATTATAGAGATGCAAGTAGTTGTCAGTTTCCAAAAGTTTTTCATTTTGCATGATCGTGTGATAGATCAATGAAGTGTGGTTATGTGTTGCTGCTCTCTTAAATCTTATGACCAATATAGAATATTTGATTACAACATCTCGTGCCCATTCCAAGTATCCTTAAAGAAATTATTATTTTTTTGTTTATTTTCTTTTTTTTTCTTTGCTAGTTATGTACTGTAATATATGTACTATTTTACACTGAAGTGTAAAAGTCTTGGTGTATTATGGCTAGGGTTGCAAAAAGGTGGAAAATTTCCAGTAAATTTCGGAAATATTCCAGAAATTTTGGAAACTGTCCAGGATTTTTTTTTTTATATTCCAGGGATTTTTGGAAAGTTTCCGGAAATTTTCCACCCCTTTGCAACCCTAATTATGATTGTGATCATTATCAGTTTAAAATATTTACCTACAAACTGAACTGTAGTTGGTCACTTCACTTGTCTTCTATCCCAGATGTGTAACTTTCTTTCGCAAACGAAGATTTTTATCAATCTAATCCATCTCTGTGAGTCCATGTAATGTTTCTGTCTCACATCTTGCATGAGCTTCACAACGCACTTACGTTTACATCAAGACAACTTGACCCTCTAATGAATGCATATAGACCAATTGGATGGAAGCAATGGTTTACAGTAAAAAAACAAACAAACAAAAAAAAAAAACATAAAATATTAGTACTATTTTCCTTACACCTACTGCTTTGCTTCAGAAGACATTTTTTGAAGCGTCAACATTTCGAAACCAATTTACTTTTACTTGTATTATTTGTACTTAGAGATTATTTTTCTAAAAATCTGCGGTTGCAGAAAGTAAGTCATATATATGGGAAATGAGGGTGAGTAAATTGAGAAATTTTTCATTTTTGGGTGAACTACCCCTTTAAGTGGGTGGATCTTAACATGAATAAGTATTAAAGTGGACCACACTTTATGCTGATAGTCTCGCAGAGCTACTAAGCCACTTGCACTGATTCATAAATAGAAGCTGATGTTTGTATTCTGTCTTAAATTACATAATGTGGATCCTGGACTGAGCTGGAAAACAGCAGGTATCTGGAGATCCTGGCAGAGAAAATTAACATCGAAAGTCTCTTTTCTCCACATTTCTCACCTCAATCCTCTTATCAGCAACAGCCAATAAATCCCAAGACGAAAGGAGAAAAGTCAGTCAAAGGCTTGATGTTACAGACCTCCACAAATGTACACAAGGTTAGACCAGACTGGCTCTCTACATGCAGAAGAAAAAAAAAACATTTGTCATCTTGTGAGCCAAAAACTTTTTCTTACCCACATTTAAAACTTTTCTCTTTGGATGAATCTTGTAAGTCCTCAGTCCCTTCAAAGCAAACAAAACATTTGGCTTCTGAAACAGATGTCCATGGAAAAGATGAACCACTCATGCTGGTCTTTCAGCACATGGTGTGCACTGCAAAGTTTTTTGAAAACATGTATTTTCTGGATGCTTATTTACAAAGACCATCTCTCAGAGGAACTGGACTTTGTAAGTCGGAACCTCTTGGTTGGATGGGCGCCACACTGAAGGACGGCTTATTGGACTTACCAAGAGAGGAGCAGATTGGACAATGTTTTAAGAATTCATCACAGATATTGGCCATTGTGGAAGGTTTGGGTTTCCATCAGTGTCAGACTGAACTCTCTAGGATCTGGACAGAAGCTGCAAGACTGAGGAAGGGGTTGTCTTCAGAGAGATGGGAAAAAATGATTTGTGTCCTGTCTCTGCCATCTGACCAAAAAAACCCCTCAGAATGTGTCAATGTCAATTCTGTGAACCTAGGTGTACATATTAAATTAATATTAAGAGTTTACGTGAAGCTTTAACTTCATCTGTGCGTATTAAGTACAATAATTTTTTTGTGGTATCTGATTCTGACTTTTTTTACAGTGGTGTCCAGAAGTGCAATGAGATTGTATCCAATCTGATCTCCAGCAAAAAGTTCAACTGTCATAGTAGTAAACATGTTCTTTCCATGGACTACTTGCCCACTCTGCGCTCAATCTGTAGATCTGAGAGAGTTAAAGAACAGCACTTCTTAAGGTATTTTGTATTTTAAAAGGAAATTTCTAATGCAGTGGTCACCAACCTTTTTAGGCCCAAGATCCCTGACCTCGGCCTTTATGAAAGACAAGATCTACCTATTGAAGAATTGATAGAAAAAGACATCCCAGATTGTACTTCAAATTTGAGGCCTTTTACTTAGTATTTTAATTAGTGATTACTGATACTGATTTTAAAGCAAATTTATTTATTGGCTATTTGCTTTAACGAACAAATTAGAGGCAACTACTGCATTTTAATCACAATCTGCACGGGCAGTTGTTTTTGATTTGATTTAGATTAATTTCAGGATTTAAAACAAAAACAGAATGGTCTGACTTTAGGTGTTATTTATTTATTTGCTACATAAAACATCTGCACGAAACAAAAACAGCAGGTCTGAATGAGACGCACTCTCTGACAGCAGGTGGCGGTGTGGCGCCTATGAACAGGGTTGCCAGGTTTTCGTATGGTTTTCCATATTTTTCCATAGCGCAAGCTACATTAAAGTGATTATTACGTTTTGAATATGGATATTTTTCTTACAAAAACGCATCGATTCGCTACAGAAGGCCTTTGTTCACCCCCCGGAGCCGTGTGAGATGTTTTTTTATGGATAGTTCACCCAAGTGATAATTTTGTAATGATACTTACAAAACGTATACTACAATTATATACAACTTAGAGATTATAGACAACGAAAAGATAATCACAGCATAATATTTACCCCTATAATAATGAGTGTTCAGATTATTTTGTTCACTTCAACCCCTGTATATATACTAAGCAAAAAAAAGAAAGCAAGAAAGAAACCTCCTCTTACATGCAACAGCTTTTATTTCCAACTAGTTCCTTAACAAGTAAATATTAACAAAAAAAGTTTAACAACCGAGACATAAACTTTAGTTTCACATAAATTTGATGAGCAGAAATGGAATAATGAGTCCCTGAAGAAAGGGAGGGAGGGTCAATATCAAAAGTAGCAGTCAGTATCTGTTATAGCTGCCAGCTGCTTTAAGCACTACAGAGCCACAAGTCCCCATGCCTCCCTGCAACAGGACTATGGCATGTTCAAGAAGGTATTGTAACTATAACTGTTAACTAACTTTAATTACCTAGTGCCTGTAAAGTGTTAGTAGTGTCTTATGGACTGTTCCAGGTGCATGTGCAATAACGGTTTATGGTTCATTGAACAAGCATAACATTGTTTGTCATAAGAAAAATTACAACAAACCAACATGTCTTTTTAGTAGATACTTTAATTCCAAAGCAACTTTCCCACTGGACAGTAGAGTTCACATTCAAGCAGCAACCTATAAGATTAAGTGCTTTGCTCAACTGCACAATGGTGGCAGATCAGTCTCTGTGGGGACTCAACCAGCAACCTTATGTTTACAAACCTTGGGCTTTATCTCATGCCAAGAACCTCTTAGTGCAGTGGTTCCCAAACCTGGTCCCTGGAATACCCCTAACAGTACACATTTTGGATGTTTCTCATCTGACAAAACCATTTCAGGCCTTGAAGTCCCTACTAATCAGCTGATGAGTTGAATCAGATGTGTTTTATTAGGGAGACATAAAAATGAACAGAGTTGGGGGTATCCAGGTCCAGGACTGGGAACCACTGTAATTAATCGATAAAGAGGTGCAGCAAGGACCACCAGTTAAACATTATATAAAATTTAGTGTGGCAGGGATAGTTCACCTAAAAAAGAAAGTTGTGTCATCATTTACTCACCCTTAAGTTGTTCCATGAATTTCTTTCTTCTGCTGAACAAAAATATTTTGAAGAATACTGGTAGCTAAACAGTTGCCGGCAGCCACTGACTTCCAGACTAAGTCAATGGCTACCAGCAACTGTTTGCTTACCCACATTCTTCAAGATATCTTCTTTTGTGTTCAACAGAAAAAAAAGAAAGAAACTCATACAGGTTTAGAACAATTTGAGGGTGAGTAAATGATGACAGAATTTTCACTTTGGGGGGAAACATCCCCCTTTAACATTGCTATAATCATGTGCGTTACTGTAGATTTTATTTAATAATATTTAACCTTTAAATGTATAAAGTTTCTCGTCAACACTAAATAGGTTCTAGTTTAACACTTAAAGAAATAAAAAAAATAGTAATAATAAAATCCCGTGTCAGGTTCAAGCAACTTAAATTAACTTTAATATGTAGTCTTTGTTTCAGAGGAAGCATTGCATAAAGTTTTACTCAGTGGAAGGGAGGAGCTCCAACGTCAAACAAATGAGAAATAGTCATTCAGTAGCGATTCACTCCCGCAGGAGTTCAAAAAACGCAACAGCTTGCAGGAGAGCGTCACATAGCTCTTCCCCTCTGTTCCTACTGCTCATCTGAAAAGAGTTTCTGTGCTTTAACACCAAGTCATGAGGAAAAAGAACACGTGGGTCTTGCTTCATCACCGACTCCGTCATCATCTTCCGAACTCTCTCAGCTCCACTTGTCCGACAATCTCCCACTATTAGGTTGAAATGGCGGCCGACAGCTGTGCGCATCATGTTAAGGACTTTTGGGGGGCTTCCTGGTTCCCTTGCTGGAGTGAGTAAAGCAAATAGCATTGCCTCTACTGTCCGGAGATGGACCAAGACCGGATAAAGAGAAGTATTCTGGGGAGAGATACTTGGTTTCTCCACCAAAAAAAAGTCGGCTGGAGGGAAGCTTGAAATAACAGTTGAGATCTGGGGTTGACAAAAAAAAAAAAAAAAAAAATTATAATTCATTCAAATTGTTTTTTCCTGTGCAAATATACTATCAAATTAGGTGCATTAAAGTAATCTCTATACAGAAGGTAAACCAGCAACACTTGACAGGAGAGCTTAAACAGCTAAAACATTCTTCAAAATATCTTCTATTATGTTCTGCAGAATAAAGAAATGCATACATATCTGGAACAGCATGAGGGGGGGAGTAAATATTTATTTTAAAGAATATTAATTTTTTGGAGGAAAGATGCTTTAAGTCAACATGAAATGGAAATTCACAAATCTAGTGAACGATTCATCTATGCAGGTTTCATTTTTAAATATTTTTTAACCTAATCAAAATGTCAAAACTGGATATTCGATCAGACTTCCCTCAATCATTTTATGGTTTTAATTGCCCCTTTCTTATTATCGACTGCAAGCTTACATTCAGATCTGCCTCCATCCAATCAACAAACAATGCATAGAACTGCTCTACATTTTTTTCTTTACCATAATCTTTTTCACTCTTTCAGTACGTCACAGTACTAAAGGAAAGGATCTGTCGCTAATTCTGTTACATTGCTTTAAGTTCTTCAAACCACAAGGGTTGCTGGTTTGCTTTCTTAAAAGAATATACAAAAACTGTAATATGTATTCACAATTTAGTAACTCACATCTTCCAAATAATCGGATGCCATGTACATTCCTTTCATAAAACTCTTGCACTCTGCTTGCTGCCAGTCTAAGACAGTTCTTGCACGATCCATGTGTGTCCATGCAATTTTATTAGTACCACAAACAATGGACATGATAGAGCTTGCATCCTGCAAGACATTCATAAAAAAAACATAGCACAGAACTCCTCATTCACAAAAGCTATTAGATGTAGTGGTTTAGACAGATTTGCCTCACCTCCAATAGAGCTCGGTCAATCTCAGGCCTTATGAATTTAGCCAGATGGACTTTTCCCTTTTTCCTCTCCTTCTTGTCAGTTGGTTTAAGGATGGAGGCAAAGACTATGACAGCACTCTTGTGTTTCAGTAAGGGCACATTCATAACACTCTCCAGACTGTTGAATGGTCCATGTGCGGTTCTGTATTTGACAATGTTAACAGCTTTCCGTCCTCGTAGCAGTTTGACCTGTTCCAGTTCTGACTCTGTGGATGTATTGAGGCACTGGAGGATGACAGCACGCTGCTCTGCGGTATAACATGAGTCCAGGGGTTTGTCCTTTTCTTGGCATAATTCAGAGGAAACAGATGCATTCAGGATGTCAAGCCCAGAGATCATGATTTTGCTCCTTCTGCAACAGGTGCAGTGCAAGAATCTGAGCTCATATTCAGGCAAGGAGCTCGGAGGGCGACAGAACAGACTGTAATGTCCTGTAACCAATCAATGATTTAGTCAGAAAATAATTTTATATATATATACAGGGCTCGAATTGAGGGGGGATGCGGGGGGATGGCATCCCCCTGGTTGAAAAAAATGACAAAAAGCTTCCTCAGTAAAACCACCATTCCCCCCTTACCATCCCCTTTGGATTAATAATGTGTATTATGTAAAAGTTATCATGCAAATTAAATGTTAAAATTATCTACTTAAGATAATTCACAAATAACGGTGATTGGCCAATCAGAACTCGGTTCTATTACATGTACAAGCGGAAGCAAGTTTTTCGTCATTTTTCACGCAAAATGGTTCAAGCGCAACTTTTGAATTTCTTTAAAAAGAAGACAACAGAAAAGGTATGCTTTTTCCTTCATTAGAATTTAAAAACATTCCCCTGACATAATGTTATTGTGCTGTATGTGTAACTGTGAGGGATTGAGAGATGATAGGAGAGCTGACATTATCCAGTCATCGACCTTGCAAAAACCAAACCAAAACACATCTTGAGAGTCCAAAAGCATTCACTGTGTGATGAAGTCTATTAGAATACAGGTAAAATAACCTTATAATTCAAGCAATTAAAGAAAAAA